CTAAGCCCTCGGAGACAGCCTTAAAAATCAGTTCAAGACTGTCACTCCAGTCTGTGACCCTCTTGTTGGTTTCAGACATTTCCTTACTTTTTTGGGAATATATCTATGCAGCTTAAAGGGCCTCTGTTGTATTAAACTCAGGTATATATCTTACAGGAAGAGATGTCTTTTGTTTCATTTTGTTTTGTTTTCAGTCTATTTATTTGGCAATATTATTATGAGTACCTGTGTATGCTTTTAAAAGGTGATTTTAAATGCTCTGGGGTAATTTGGGGGAAAAGTCTCAATAAATGCAACAAGCAGACTGGGTGCAGTGGCTCACGCCTGTAATCCCAGCACTTTGGGAGGCTGAGGCAGGAGGATCACTTGAGTCCAGGAGTTCAAGACCACCCTGGGAAACATGGCGAAACCCCATCTCTACAAAAAAATACAAAGAATTAGCAGGACATGGTGTCGCACACCTGTAGTCCCAGCTACTCGGAAGGCAGAGGTGGGAATATCATTTGAGCCTAGGAAGTCAAGGCTGCAATGAGCCATGATCGTGCCATGATTGTGCCACTATACTCTATCCTGGATGACAGAATGAGACCCTATCTCAAAATACAAATAAATAAATAAAAATAAAGCAACAAACGGTAAAAATATACTTTAGTTCTGGATTATAATCTATTAAGTGACAGACAAGTAGATCAATGTGAAAGAAGAAAAAAATAGCACAAGTAGCAGGAAAAAAAAAGAGGTAAAGAACAGTACAACAAAAAGAATTTTGGAGGGAGGATGAATAAGAGATGCATCAACAAACCCAGCCAGAGCAAAGGCAAACCCAGAGGCAAACAAGGACTTGTAAGAGGAGAGCAAAGTCTTTGACTTTCATCGAATAAAGAAAGATGACTCATCTCATGATGTTTTAATCCTGCTCCGAAGGATTCTTTTTCACTCACATTGCCATTCCTTCTAAAAAAGACTCCAAAACGAGAAATTCAGCCTGTGTACCAAGTGTAGTTTGTAGGCATGGTTTCCCTACTCCTTGTTAGGCAACTGAGAAACCACTACTTCATGTCACTAGGGTTTTTCTGTTTCCTACATGTTTCAAATTTTTCAGCAAATTCCCAAATTAAAGATTGTAAAATTAAAAGGTCTTCAAAGCAATCTCCATTCTCATTACACTATGACATTTTGGCATACATACCTGTTGTACATTTCATTGCTTGGGGGCATTATTAAACCAGTCTTTACTCACACACTGGCATCTTTCATAGAACCGAATTGAAGAACTTGATCATTTCTAAATTTCACTACCTAGAACTATTAACCCCAAAAGAATAACTTCATGCTGGGCATGGTGGCTTATACCTGTACTCCTAGCAGTTTGGGAGGCTGAGGCAGGAGGATGACTTGAGCCCAGGAGATCACACTAGGCAATATAGAGAGACCCCCATCTCTACAAAAACTGAAAAATTTAGCCAGGCAGGTGTGGTGGTGCATGCCTATAGTCCCAGTTATTACTCTGACAGGCAGGGTGGGGAGCCGAGGCAGGGGAATCACTTGAGTCTGGCAGGTCAAAGGTGCAGTGAGCTGTGACAGTGCCACTGCACTCCAGAGCCTGGGTGACAGATGAGTCCCTGTCTTTAAAAAAAGACTAAAAGAAGCTTAACGCTCTTTTACTTCTATACATAGACATACAGACTTTTCCCATCATGTAAAAAGGCCAAGGACCTACAATTCACAGGTCTTGGATAATTTTTTATTTCCCAGTAAAACTGTACTAAAATCTAAGTTCTTTTTCCTGAAGAGAAGACAAGGCTATATAGTTTTTATTTATTATGTAATCTTAATTAAAATCACCAAAAGTTCATATGGCCTTTGACATCTTAATAAACATGCTTATTCCCCAAAACGAACAATGGTTGTCAGTTCCACAGGCCATTCAAGCACTGTAACTTTTCATTTAAAGTTATTTATTTTGGGGAAAAAAATAAGAATGCTTTTCCTAAGCATACTAGTTTTTTAAAAAAGTATGAGAATGCATTCATTTACCATATGACATCTAATCATAAACTTTCTCATGTGCAACATAAAAGACATTATGTTTCCCTCATGAAAATTTCCAAAATTACTGAGACACAACATACTAAAGATAACCTAGAAATAAACTTTCATCTAAAAGTTTAGTTTTTAGTTCTTTACAAAAAGTATTTTTCTAATTAGTCATAAATGTTAGGATTCCTTGATGTGTACAATAAATAACTTCTAAGGAATATACATTTTTCTCATTTACTATAGTAATAAAATTGCCAGTAAACTCAAACGTACTGCGTAAACTTTTTTTTTTTTTTTTTTTTTTGAGATGGAGTCTCACTCTGTTGCCTAGCTGGAGTGCAGTGGCACGATCTCCACTCGCTGCAACCTCTGCCTCCTGGGTTCAAACAATTCTCCTGTCTCGGCCTTTTGAGTAGCTGGGACTACAGGCACGCGCCACCATATACAGCTAATTTTTGTATTCTTAGTAGAAACAGAGTTTCACCATGTTGGTCAGGCTGGTCTTGAACTCCTGACCTCAAGTGATTCATCTGCCTCATCCTCCCAAAGTGCTAGGATTACAGGCGTGAGCCACTGAACACATCCTCTAAATTTTTAATTTAGAGCATATATCTGTTTTAAAATCATCTTGTCTCACAAGCTAGATTGTAAAATATTTAAGAGACTTATTAATAAATTTTTTAAAGGCCCATAATGGTTCCCAAAATGCAGGTGGAAAACTCATACTGAAAAGGTACCAGGTGACATCTTCTGCAGACTTTACCTAACAAACCACTGCGGCTCTGCTAAACAGCACCGGCTCTCACAGTCTCACTGCTGAAACCAGCAGAACAGTGACAGTCTCAAAGTGTTCAAACTCACAGGTTTCCCCAGGCTTTGACTAGCCAGTGTTGCCACAGCCCGGGCAGTGCCAGTACACGAACACTGATACTCTCTATGCTCCTTCTGCAAGGGTCTCTACTGTCAGAGCCTGAGTTCTCTACAAAAACAATTTCTCCCAGCAGGAGGAAAACCAGAGAGTTAGTCTCCTGAACAATAACTTAGAGCGCAATTCTGACCTTACTCAGGACTGTGGAAATGATGGGGGGAAAAAAAGTTAAAAAGTCTTAGGGCTGGGTGGAACAACAGGCAGATTTCAATTCTGTTATATAGGCATAGAAATCAGGGCATTTTGGAAAAACATAGAATTTCCTAGGTAATGTCTTTGCTTTCCATTTATCTACATTATTTTGTTCTACTCCCCTCCTCCCCTCCCAGCAAGGCTGAGAAAATACTTAGGATTGTTTCTCTGGGGAGGAGAAACATAAAATTACTCCTATCAGCTTAAGAAATGAAGAAAATTATTAACCAGCTTCTCAGTCACACCAGCCTCTGCCTTCTGCTATCAGCCATGACATCCTCATCAGGACAGAGGTTTCCTGTCCATATTTTCATTTTGGAGACTTTGTTTTACAAACTTGTCTGACCCTAAGAACCACCAATGAGGCTTATTAGAAATTTCAGATTCTGGGGGCCACGGTGGCTCCGGCCAGTTGTCCTGGCACTTGAGGAGGCAAGGCCATGAGTTCAAGGCCAACCTGAGCAATGTACATGCTCTCATTGATTAACAAAAAAAAAAAAAAAAGAAATTCAGATTCTCTGGTTCCTTCCAAACTTAACCAGCATATTCAGGGGGAAGGACCTAAGACTGTTTTTTCAGTATCTAGATAATTCTCACGATGCAGTAAATCTAAGAAACCCTGATCTTGTGACCATGTTCATATTAAAAAAATAAATCCATTCCCATCTTACCTTTATGAGACCCTTAGAAAGTAGCCTATGGATTAAAAGAACTGAGCTGCACATATCAAGCTAAACACGGCCACCTTTGCATGCTAGTTCTTTAGGGTGACAAAATAATACATGAAAATGAACTAGTTGTTCCTAATTGTTAAGTAATTATCCTGAGGGTTGGTGGGTCTAAGCCTCTTTTTAGGCAGAGAAGGTTCGTCTAAATTTCAATTACTTAAAGCATTATCATGCGTTCTACCTAGCAAAGGAATGATATCGTCTTATATGCACTTATCAAAGACCTGCACAGACTAAAACAACTATGTCTAAAATTCAAAAGGTAATACAAAAACATAAAGAGCTTCTTTTTTTATTTTAATTTGTTTTTTTCTTTTTTCCTCCTCCTCCTCCTCAAAGGAGAATGGCATAAAAAAGTAAATAAAGTGGATTTAATAAAAAGTAAATAAAGTGGATTCTTGAGAATGGCATAAAGTTAATAAATTGGATTTAAATATGTCTATTTCTTTCACCATTGCTACATCCTCGGTGTGTGGTACAGAACATGGCACATGGAAGGCATTTAATACATGGCTGACGAGGGGATGAATGAGAGTAAATGAATGAATGAGGCATGTGTCAGTGAGACAAACAAAAAATAGCACTGTATAAGTCAGTAGTACCTTCAGAGGAGAGAAAAATATTGTTTTTCTTTCTTTAATTGACCTGTTAGAAAATGTTTACCAGCCTTTAGTCTGAATAATTGACATTGAAATTTACTTTCAAAACAGGAAAGGCAAATCCTGAGAGGCCCACAAAAACACAAAAGGAAACAAAAGCTAAGGTAGTGCTTCAGGACTAATAAAATCCAAGACAGGCAGTCCATGAGGACAGCAGCACACAGTGTGACATGGATGCTCCTCTCCAGAGTGTGGACTCAGCATTAATCACCAAACACAGTATACTTCAGTGCCAAAATTCACAAGAACAAAAGACTGAACAAGAAAGGGAAGGAGAGGTAGAGGTAGGGCAAAAACCCAATGGACATAGAATGAAAAGAGAGGAGGAGAAACAGCGTGCAACATCTCATGCAGGGACCTTGGTGAGGACAAGTGGGTACTGGGCAACACTTGGTGAGAACAGAGGACCAGAGAAAGTGAGACACACCTCAATCACAGAAACAAACCGCTTACCCTCCGCTTTAGTGGTAGTACCATCTTTAAGCAAATTAAAAAACAAGGGAAGGGATAACAGGGAACAGTTAGTAACATTCAAAAAATTAAAAAGCCGAATGTTATTAGCTACTAAAAAAGCAAAAGTACAATTTAAAACAAAATTAAAAGAGAAACAAGTTCAACAGCAAAGCAGAGTCTGAAGCAAGTAAGTGTGCCGTGTATTGAAATTAGCTTGACATAGCATAATGTTTTTTTGCCTTGGGAAAATAAAACACAGAAGGGCAACCCAGGGTAGTGCCACAGTTGAAAGAAAGATTTTTGTTTTAGCCAACTCTCATCTTCTTAAGAGTTCCTTTTGCTTGGAAGAAAAATACCAGCAGAAGAGGGCAGAGAGGAGGGATTAGAAACTAGAATACTAAAGAGTCACCCAAAGGGCAGAGCCAAGTAAGAAGCTCAGAGAAGCTTGCTCTAGCAATGCCTATCCCAACTACACGTCCAGCAGCAAAAGTTGTCGAGCATGGTACCTGAGTCCAGGCCTATGTACTCCATGTCTTCCCTCATGTGTCTGGACTCTAGAAGTTTGGAAAAGGATCATCAGCTTTAATGCTACACTTTTGCAAAGATGTCACGTGTCAACCTAAGCAGCAATTATAACAAATTCTCACTAGGATTGTGTTGTATTTCAATATTTTTGTGTTTTTGTTTTGGGACACAATAAGGAAAGTTGAGGTAGAATTCAGAGGAAACAGAATTTGAATACTCCAGTCTTGTTCTTTGAAGAGGTTAATACTGGACTGAAAACTTATCATCAGTGCTTCTAAAGGGTCAGCTCCGTATTATCATACCAAAAGACACGAGGGCTTTTATTAGCACTGGGGGACATCTATAACATCCATTTTTAAACACTCTACATACAGACAGAAAAACACAAATACTACGTACTCTAAAAGCTGATTTTTACTCACTTTTTCCAGCAATGAAACAAATACTAATTACAAATACTAAAGGTGGATCTTATATGCTAAAGAGCAGGTAAGTACTGAAAAACTAAATTAAAAGAACTAATTCAGCATAGGAGGGAAGAGCTGTTACTTCTCCTTTGCTCAGTGGTTACTACAATCCTATATAATGTTGCAATCATTAAAACAACTTAAAAAGAGAGTTCTTAATGCGTTTCTTCTCAATTATTATCTCTGTATGAGGTATTTCCGCAGAAAAAAGCAAGACTGAGCAAATGTTCCAGAACACCTATCTTTCAAATTAATAATGTTCACATCACAATCACGCCTTCTCCTACTTTACAGGACAATCATTTATAAAGAACCTTTATAGAATTTCAGTTAGTCTCATATATGAGTTAGGTGGCTATTATTACAAGTAATTTATAGGTATGGGAAATAGACTTATAGATTCCATGGCCTGCTCCAGGTCACACAGCTAATAAATGGCAGACCCTAAAATCTTCCCTGGGTGCTATAAGCTCACTGTGCTTTCAATATTCAAAACATTTTCAGAATATTAGTTTTAGAACTGACAGGAATTTGTTTGGAAGTTACACGAGTAACTCTATCTCAATATTTCAGATACTTTAAATTTTATTCATTTCCTTAAAATCTAAAGTAGAGCCAATCCTGCTAAGTCCCTAGATTTTGCCTTTGAATGAACTGGCTCTTACAAAAATCAAACAAAATAAACAATTAGCCTGACACATAGTATGTGTGAAGCATCTGCTGAAAAATAGGAGTAACTGCTCTATCACTATGTCAGATATTAAAAGTTTTGAAAGTAATTTTTAAAAACCTCTTTTGGGCAACCATCAGATTAAGGGCATGCTCCTCCCAAGGTGACACATGGAAGAACTCTTTTGTACATTGTTATGCTGATTCATGAGCTCATCACATTCCTTCAGATTCCTCCTGGCATTCCCACAACCCAGTCCTACCCCTGACAACTCTGATTATATTCTCAAATTGAGACACACCTAATTACGATGACTACCTTTGGTGAATCCCTCACTGAACCTGCTGGGTCTGCTGCCACCAGTGCCAGAGCGGTAAAAACTTAGCTTTGGGCCGGGCGTGGTGGCTCAAGCCTGTAATCCCAGCACTTTGGAAGGCCGAGGTGGGTGGATCACGAGAGATCGAGACCATCCTGGTCAACATGGTGAAACCCCGTCTCTACTAAAATTACAAAAAAATTAGCTGGGCACGGTGGCGCGTGCCTGTAATTCCAGCTACTCAGGAGGCTGAGGCAGGAGAATTGCCTGAACCCAGGAGGCCGAGGTTGCCATGAGCCGAGATCGCGCCATTGCACTCCAGCCTGGGTAACAAGAGTGAAACTCTGTCTCAAAAAAAAAAAAAAAAAACTTAGCTTTGGCAATATGGGATGTGGCTAGGCTTGCCATGGAAGAGGAGGAAGAGAGTTGAAGAAAGGATGTGCTCAGTGCCCAACACTCTCCGAGCATGAGTGTACTGTGTACTCACTCATCACTAAAACAAATGACGCTCCAGAGAAAGGGACACTCAACAAGCATGGCTGGCTAATCAGCAGCAAGTGCACAAAGCTACTTAGATTTAAATAGGAGCCCTGCAACAGTGAGACTTGCCTCAATCATGGGTTTTTATACTTTGCTAGGAGGTAAGAGTCACTCTCACATAGCAGAGCAGGAGGGAAAGGGTGACAGGTATGGTTACCTAAGGATGCGTATGACCCTGGAGGCAAAGCCGCTGCGGAGCTGAAAGGCGCCGTGCCCGAAGATGAGGAGACTTTGGATTTGGCACTGGCTGCTGCGTTCACATCAATGTCACTTCGAGATCGCTGAAGGGACCCAGTCGTTGACACAGATTTGGTACTAACTGTAGAACCTTCAGTGACAAAGGAGGAAATCTGAATAAGGACTACATCGAATTTTAAAAACGCATTGCTAAAATTTGATGTTGTTTTGCTTTTCTGAAAACAAATACCAACTTTTAACAAATGTTGGAGCATAAAAAACTGACCAACAATTTCTCCTGGTCCCTGAAGAGAGTTCAGGCAATGCCAAAGGAAACCAAACGTGACCTCAGCTGTAACATAGCAATTACATTTGTTTTCTTGTAATTGAAGACTATAAACCCCAAAGGAAAAATGGACCATGTTTCTGGTTACTATGAATAAGTGAAATAAGAAAAACAATGCTCACATCTGGCAAGTTTCCTTACGAAATGACGTAATTGTGCCACCCCTCTGGGCCCTCCTCTTTCTGGAACATACCACTCTCCCACCACTAACCATCACCATGCTGCTGCTGCTGCTGCTGCTGCTGCTGCTGCTCAAACCACCACAAGATGTCTTCACTGTCTCATCAAGGGATCAGAGACAGGAGGTGCACAGTTAGCGGCAGTGTCAACATGCAGGGGAGGTGGGGAGAAGAGGTCACAGAGCTTCACTCCTAAGTCACCCTGTCAAATATAGTCCTCAGCAGCGAGTGGCCCTGACAAAGCAGAGTCTGCCCTGCTGGATAGGGCAGGGCAGAGCAGGCTACTTTCAAGCCTGGGAAGGAACTGAGGGCAGGCCACTGGCCTCCCGTGCCCAGGCAGACTCCCGCAGCTGCACACAGTCCACCAGAGCCGATAACAGGCCTTCTCCGTGGCTGTAAGTCTCACCTCTAGACGTGGTACTTCCAGTAGGACTTCTTTTGGCAGACAGCGGCCGACTAAAAATAAAGATGTATACTATTTATTACGTGCACTTTATCCGAACTAATACAAACTACAACAGGAAATTATTATAATGAAGAATTATTTCAGAGTTTTTGGAATTTTTGGGGCAATGTGAACCACAATATTATAAACTCCCTGATTCCCAACAAAGATTTAAGCAATATATTTTGGACTGCCTTTCAGACAGAGAGAGTGAACAGTAACTCCAGACAGAAATTAAAAACACAGAGTGAAGACGATAATATATTAAATCCCAGAATTTGAATGCCCTCCGTTTCCAAACTTGTCTCCAGGTTCACACTTACATCCTCTGAGAAGACTCTCTGAAGCACTGGTGTGTCTAGTTCACACTATTCTATAATTCACTTATGTTACTCTAAAACTTTATTCTAGGGCTGCCATAAGAATTTAACTGAAAAACAGTATGGTAGAGAACAAAGCCACCTATTTCTAAGCACTCCACCACTTCCTGGTGGTATCTTACTTTGCACCAGGATCTACCTGAAATAAGGAGGCATTATAACAGGCACACATGTAAAAACATAGCTACAATTTGTGTTTTCATGCAATGAACTTTTAAATACAAATTCTCACACAAATGACAAGCAAAGCTGAGTCCCTTACTTTAGACTCTCTTGAGAGCTGGAAGACGAGCGGTCAGACTGAGGCAGAGACACAATGCTGTCTGAGTTCTTCAGGTGGGACTGCAGGGCTTTCTGGTAGGAGGACTCCAGGGTGTGGTATAAGTGCTCTGCTTCTCTGCTGAAGTGACTGTGGAAACCCCAGTAACATCTAGAGGAAACACACAAAATCCTAGTCTAATCCAAGGATCCTAACAGGTCTTTTGCTGAACTCTGGAGTACACCACAGAAGATTTTCAAGGACTGCAAGCCTCAGTTTAGCTGCTGATAGGAGCACCATCGCATAAGGAAAAGAGGGTGAACAAAGGAGGCCTGGTACCAATTCTGGGCTCACAACTTTACTGGCTTATAGACAGTAGGCAAGTCACTTACCCCCTCTCAACCTCAGCCTCGTTTATAACATGGGAATTGCAGAGGCTAACTTGCAAAATTGGGGAATCTTAGGGAAGGAGGAGCTAAACATCTAGGACTATACCGAGAACACAGGACAGGCTCATTAAAATGGCAGCTATTATAAATGCAATTTTACATCTCTTAATATAAGGTATTTAAAACTGCCTTAGGTAACATGTACAAAAGAAAAATTTTAAAATGTTCAGAGCTGCTTGAAATCAGTATCACATTATGATTAAAGACCAAGAAAAAAAGGGCCAGGGGGTGGGGAGGGTACAATACAAAGATAAAACAGCATAAATAGATCGTTAACAAATCCTTTCATAATAGTTTTTAGCAACGATTATGTCACTTATTTTATTAGAAACTAGCCAAGAAAAAATTGTCACAAACACTTCAGAGTTATAATAAGCTCAGAAACAAGTGAAATATAATTTAACTGTGAAGCCAGCCAAAGAGCAATAAGTACTATATCAGGATGTGTTAATGCAGCTAAGTAAGCCATAACATTATAGGCTAGTACGATTAGATTTTAGCATGTATCAGTTAGGAGAGTTGGTCAACTATGAGAAAATTTGAAACAAATCACAGATGCAAAACTGGCAGTAGTTATCTATGCACTGCACAAGAATGTCTTAATATCAAACGTCTGGTATTTACAGTCACAGTGGCAAAGGAGGTAATGAATACAGAGGCTATAGCCACACCATCGGAGGAAACTCAGTCCTAATGGCATAAATACCTCACTTGTGAGACAGAAATAGCAAGTGATCACTGTGATAAACCCAAGCATTAGGTCAATCCAACTCTGCTTAATATGATTCACACCAAGGTACCATCAGATGATGTACCATCAGTGAGTGCAGGGAGAGAATTCCCTGTGACCAAGGTTTTTCATGGTAAAGCATTAAAGCAGCTTTGGATTACAACATGGCTTAATGTAATGAGTAAAAGAATACACTGAGCATGCATACGAGTGCCTTCCAGATCTGTGTGATAATTTGTGACGAATGTAAAAACAAGCATTCTTTTGTCTACCTCAGTCCTGTTTATTTACAAGGTTGAGTGATGTTAAAAGAGGGAAATATTCCAAAATGGACTTTTGGGGGTTATGTTTAAAAGTCACGGGTAACAAGCATGTTCAAGTAATAAGACAATCCACACAATTCATGTGAAATACAGAAGAAGTTAATTTAAAAAGTGCTGTGCAATAAGAACTTACTTTCTGGCTTCTATTCTTGCTTCAGAATCGGCATCATGTATTCCCTTCTTTATTGTTTCCGCTAATACTGATATGTGTCTAGATATTTAGAAAAGAAAGCAGTAACAATCATAAATATATGGTTTATTGCAGATGAAACAGGGTGGGAGAAATAATTTCAAAATGGCAACATGGAACTTGGAGCCTCTGTGCCAAGGCCGTCAATTCACACGTGGCTGGGCAGAGCAGGGCACTCCCACAGTCCTTTAATTTCCAACCCTGCCCCAACACCCTCACACTCCACTCCAACCCACCCACACCTAAGGACTTTGATAACTCTATTCTCTTGTGGGATTTCTTTTTTTAAATAAAAGCTGATTTTTTTTTTTTTTTGAGATGGAGTTTTGCTCTTGTTACCCAGGCTAGAGTGCAATGGCGTGATCTCGGCTCACCACAACCTCCGCCTCCTGGGTTCAGGCAATTCTCCTGCCTTAGCCTCCTGAGTGGCTGGGATTACAGGCACACGCCACCATGCCCAGCTAATTTTTGGTTTTTTTTTTTTTTTTTTAGTAGAGATGAGGTTTCACCATGTTGACCAGGATGGTCTCGATCTCTTGACCTCGTGATCCACCCGCCTCGGCCTCCCAAAGTGCTGGGATTACAGGCATGAGCCACCGCACCCGGCCAAAAGCTGATTTTTTAAAGTCCACACTTATATAGCTCAATCTTTTATGAACCCAAACAACAAAACCTCATATTTTTCACATCAGAGCTAGTTTCTACGGAAACTGTGAGATAATCACCTTAATATTAAATAGGCTGTCTGCATCAAACACATAGGGAGAGAAAGAAAACTTTCAAGTGAATGAAATTCCTTTAAGGACCTAAGAGTTACAACTTGCCTACTAAGAGCAACTGTAAACAGTTACATCATGGGAACTGACGGTAATGTCAAGCAGCAGGGCCAGAGACAGTAATGAGTTTACACTGGCTTTGTAGCTGTCAGAATGCACATGGACACAATAGTATTTCAATCAATGAAATGCACTAAAAGCATCTGCGAATATTATGTGACTAACATCAGTAAAAAAACAGATACAGTCATGAAAACAAATGTATATATTCCTTCATTCTTATAGAAAGCAAGCTGGACCACTCACCAAAGCATTCACTCTCAAGACTCAATTCAGAGGGAAAAAATGGTTTCAAATCAGATGCTCACCGTTCTAGTGAATGTGTCTGCCATTCTTGTAAAAGCAAATCTAAAAATTCAAAACAGCGCCTAAAAAGTATTAAGAAATACATAATTTATTAATATATACATTAGTAAAATGAAACAACATTTTTCTTAAGTGACCCAATACTACTTTTTATAGTAAGTAAATTTCTTTTGATTTTTATGATTAGAAAAACAGAGCATAAAGAATCAATCAGAACTGACTAAAAACCAAAGCAAATGAAAGTAATTAAGTACCTACTGCTGCCACAGGGGCACAGAGACAAGATCCAAGAGTTTCTCGCCAATCAGAAGCTTGCACTCCGTGGCAACATCACTAAAAGGGCTTATCACTGTCATTTGTTTTTATACTATCCTAAGTAATATGTTAATACAGAATGTACACACACACAGAAGATCAACAAACACGACAGAATCGGATCTTAGCATTAATTTCAGAGAATGCTTTGTCCAAAGAAAGGAAAAAGTACCTTGAAAAACTAAGTGCTGTGCGTATTTTCATGCTAAAAAGACCCTAGGTAGTGCTTAAAATGGATTTTCTCTAACTACTTTGCCTTCCGCCAACCAACCTTTCAGCATCCTTCTTTAAGGGTTTTCACTTTTATTTTTCTTGGTCTGATTTGTGCACAAAAATAATTTAGGTAACATCACCACTTCAGGTTCTACCTCTACAAAATTTTCTTTTTCTGGCCGGGCACACTGGCTCACACCTGTAAAATCCCAACACTTTAGGAGGCCAAGACAGGTGGATCACCTGAGGTCAGGAGTTCAAAACCAGCCTGGCCAACATAGCAAAAACTCATCTCTACTAAAAATATAAAAATTAGCTGGGTGTGGTGGCAAGCACCTGTAATTCCAGCTACTCAGGAGGCTGAAGCAGGAGAATCACTTGAACTCAGGAGGCAGAAGTTACAGTGAGCCAAGATCATGCCACTGCACTCCAGCCTGGGCGACAGAGACTCTGTCTCAAAAATAAATAAATAAAAGTTATTTTTCCTAAGTCTGGCATTTCTATTTTTGTATGAGTAAATCCCAATAGTCCTAGGAACCCATTCAAGAACACACAAATCAGAAGTAAAATCTTTATCTAAAGGAATGACCAGACTTTCTTTCCTACAATTCTCCCAATTCACAATTTATAATCCATACACAGTCCCTCAGTAAATCAAGGCTAGGATCAGTGGCTCACGCATGTAATCCCAGCACTCTGGAAGGGCAAGGCAGGAGGATCGTTTGAAACCAAGCATTCGAGACCAACCTAGGCAACAAAGCAAGAGATTGTCGGTACAAAAAAAATTTTTAAATAGCTGGGTACAGTGGCAAGAACTAATAAAGTCCTAGCTATTCAGGAAGCTGGGTGTATTGCTTGAACCCAGGAGTTTGAGACTGCAGCGAGCTATGACTGCACCACTGCATTCCAGTTTAGGCAACCAAATCAGACCCTGTCTCAAAAATAAATAAATAAAGATAATTATTTACTAACCATTTACCCTTTGCTAGATGCTAGAGATCCAATAATAGCCAAGACACAGCCCAGAGAACAAGAGAGACAAGAAACAAGCTACACTGCCAGGAATGCAAGGGCTCCAGCAGCTCACAGGAGAACCACGCAGCTTGGTCCCAGGGCTGGCAGTGGTGGGGCTGAAGTGGTGAAGCAAGCCTTTTCAAAAGAAAAGACATCGACTACCCACTTCTTACCACTACCTTCCCCACTGCTGCCCCAATCTAGACCACGTTGATTCTCCTTTCACCCTTTTGCCTGTGGCATTTCCAAGTCTGGGTTTTTCTTGTCTCTTTACTGCACTTATTCCTGCTCCTCTTTCAAAATGTGGCTCATTTTTAACTCATCTACAAAGCTTCTTCGGAAGACATCAGCAAGCTTTAATGACAGCTGTATCTGAACTCCTAATTCCACAATACATATGGTAATGTCAGAATGTGTATAATCCATTTGTTACCAATTTTATGAAGCCGTGCTAAGTACAAGCTGAATATGTAACAGAAGGTGCACTGCTTTGGTTACACTGCACTCTTAAGCTCCCTCTCCTTTTCTGAGGGCGGAGGGGCCGCGCAAGATGGTCCCTATTATTTCTTTCAGCATGAAGACATACAGTTCTGACTGATACACACTGACCAAATACAGAAACAATAATCTGAATGCATGGTTCAGAAACTGGTGAGGTGGCAGCATTTCTATTGTCACAGCGACTGTAGGTAGTGACTCATATTTAGTGCCAAAGGCCAGAACTGCTCCATGTTATGAAGTGAATTTTGTCTCCCTGCCCCACCAAATTAATATGTTGAAGTCCTTACCCTCAATGTGATGGTTATTTAGAGACAGGGCCTTTGGGAGGTGATAAGGTTTAGATTAAGCATCACAACGGGGCCCTTATTATGGGATTAGTGCCCTTATAAGAAGAGGTAACAGGTAGCTTGTTCTGTCCTCTCTCCCACTCTCCCCTCCCTCTCTCCTATGTTAGGATACAGGAGAAGGTGATGGTCTACAGGCCAGGAAAAGAATCCTCACCAGAATCCTGGCCTGGAGGAACGCTGATTTTGAACTTCCAGCCTCTAGGCTAGGGAGGTTCAATCTTTCGGCTTCTCTGGGCCACAGTGAAAGAAGAATAATTGTCTTGGGCAGCAAATAAAATACACTAACACTAATGATAGTAGATGAGCTTTTTTTAAAAAAAATCTTATAATGTTTTTAGAAACTGTATGAATTTGTGTTGGGCTGCATTCAAAGCTGTCCTGGGCTGCATGCAGCCTACAGGCCATGGGTTAGACAGCCATGCTCTAGACTGTGAGAAATAAATCTGTTGTTCATGCCAGCCAGTCGGCAGGATTTTGTAATGGCAGCCCAAGATGATGAATCCCCTACACATCCTACAATGTTCCACGACAAAGATCTGTGTCATCTTATTGGAGAAATTCTGCCCTACACAAGGAAAAACATTCTGAATTTCTCTTGGAAACCTAACAATAGTGAGATGAAAATAACGACTGCCACAGCAGCAACAAATTAAGCTGTCACTAAATGTTTTACCTAATGACTGTAAATTCTCCAACCCCACAGAGAGGTAGGCTTACATCTAACAAGTCAAACAGTAAGTGGAAGAGGAATGTTTCAACTGTTGCTGGTCAGGTTCTGAAGTTCATAATCATCCCTCCGACTTGCTGACTTTACATTCTCATCTCTCAGGGGAGCTGAAGTTGTTCCACTCCCCAGGAGAAGCTAAACCCTAGGTCAAGGATAGACTGCATTTTCCCAGGTACCCACTTGAGCCATACAGTTAGGAATTACCGTTTTTCAGTAGATGGTATAAATTTCTTTTTTTGTGACTTCAGATAGCTGTATTATTCTTCCTTTCTCTCTTTGCCTTTCAGGTAGTTATTAATGAGACGGATATAAAACCCACTACTAGGTATATATCCCAAAAAATGAAATCAGTATGTTGAAGAGTTATCTGTACTCTCATGATTACTGTAAATCTATTCACAACAGCCAAGACAGGGAATCAACCTAAGTATCTATCAGCCAGATGTATAGATAAAGATAATGTAGCATATATACACAACAGAATTCTATTCAGCCTTAACAACAACAAAGTATATTTTGTCATTTAAGACAACACAGATAAACCTGGAAAATATTATGTTAAGTGAAACAAGCCAGGCATACAAAGACAAATACTGCACGATCTCACTTATGTATGAAATCCAAAAAAGTCAACTCAGGTTTGGTGCAGTGGCTCACACCTGCAATCCCAGCACTTTGGGAAGTTGAGGTCAGCCTGGGCAACATGGTGAGATCTCATCTCTACAAAAAATTTAAAAATTAGCTGGGTGTGGTGGCGCATGCCTGTAGTCTCAACTACTTGGGAGACTGAGGTGGGAGGATCACTTAAGCCCAATAGTTAGAGGACTGCAATGAGCCATGATTGTGTCACTGCACTCCAGCCTGGGTGACAGAGTGAGGCACTACCTCTAAAGCAAACAAAATTGGACTCATAGAAGCAGAAAGTAGAATGGTGGTTCCCAGAGGCTAGGGGTTGGGAGACTGGGGAGATGTAATGTATGCAAAATGTCAGAGTAAGTTCAAGAGACTGATTGTACATCATGGTGATGGTGACTACAGTTAGTAACAACATATTACATTCTCAAAAATTGCTGAGAGTAGATTCCAAGTGTCCTCATTGCAAAAAAATAAGTATGTGAGGTGATGCACATGTTAAAGAGCTTGATTTAACCATTCCAAAATGTATACACATATCAACACAGCATGTTGTACACCATAAGTCTTCACAATTTTTACTTGCCAATTAAAAAAATAAAGCTTGGGCATGGTGACTCACATCTGTAATTCCAGCGCTTTGGGAGGTCAAGGTGGGAGGACTGCTTGAGCCCAGGAGTTCGAAATCATCCTTGGGCAACATAATGAGACACCCATCTCTAAAAGTTAAAAAAAATTAGCAGGCCATGGCAGTGTGTACTTGTAATTCTAGCTAATTCGAAGCCCAGGAGCTTGAGGTTACAGTGCGCTGCACTCCAGCCTGGGTGAAAGAAAGAAAAGAAGGGGCCGGCCACAAGTGGCTCACACCTGTAATCCCAGAACTTTGGGAGGCCAAGGTGGATGGATCACCTGAGGTCAGGTGTTCAAGACTAGCCTGGCCAACATAGTGAAACCCCATCTCTACTAAAAAAATTAAAATTAGCCAGGCGTGGTGGCAGGCATCTGTAATCTCAGTTACTCAAGAGGCTGAGGCAAGAGAATCACTTGAACCTAGGAGGCAGAGGTTGCAGAGAGCAGAGATCGCATCATTGCACTCCAGCCTAGGCAACAAGAGCGAGACTTGTCTCAAAAAAAAAAAAAAAGAAAAGAAAAGAAGGAAGGAAGAAAAGGAAAAAGAAAGAGAAAGAAAATTCTTAAAAAGATGGTCTGTGGCTAATTTGTTAAAAATAATAAAAATAAAATCTATTTTTAAATGACAAATATAGGGCTCCTTCTTGCTTAAGAGGGTCCTGTACCCACAGAAACCTAGCAGGATCAACATGACACCCCAAGAAAAAAGGCAAACAGCTGGCAAAGGTCATCTGGCCTCTAAACCTTAGAGAGGACTCTTTCACAGAGCTAGGATCAAGACACACAGCTAAGGGAATGGGGCCAAGAGGTTGCCCAAGCCTGCCAGTAATTATCCTTTAAGACTCCCAATACAGTCTACTAGAAAAGCTTTAGTGCCATTCATGAATTCTCTGAAAACCTACACAATACTATTCTGTACATTTACCACTTGCTGGGAAGAGGGTCCATAGATTTTAACAGACTCTTAAAACTCTCGGGGCCGGGCGCGGTGGCTCAAGCCTGTAATCCCAGCACTTTGGGAGGCCAAGGCCGTTGGATCACGAGGTCAAGAGATCGAGACCATCCTGGTCAACATGGTGAAACCCCGTCTCTACTAAAAAAAAAAAAAAATACAAAAAATTAGCTGGGCATGGTGGCATGTGCCTGTAATCCCAGCTACTCAGGAGGCTGAGGCAGGAGAATTGCCTGAACCCAGGAGGCGGAGGTTGTGGTGAGCCGAGATCGTGCCATTGCACTCCAGCCTGGGTAACAAGGGCGAAACTCCGTCTCAAAAAAAAAAAAAAAAAAAAACTCTCAAATCACAGGTCTGAGCTAAAAGAACAAAGTCCTTATTCCTCACATGTAGTTTAGGGCAGCTCACCAAGACAAACATGACAGGGACTTGGGAACAAACCCCTAGCTAGTTGTATCTGCCTGTGTCTTTTGTGTATATCTCCCACAACTGCGCAGAACCAAGTAACAGTGAAGATTCAGAATCCCAGAAATCGCTAACAGAAGATGCAAACAACACATACCTTCCCCTTACCTATGTTAATACGAAGCTACTGACATTGATATTTATGATAATTTTTTTCTTGCATGCAGTTACTGCCTTTACTCAGGGAATAGGGCAGGGCAGACCGATGGCAAGGGTAGAATCTCAGGGAAAAAATGTACAGGGGGTCCTCTCCCCTTCTCTTTCTGCCACTAGCCCCCCAAACTCACTCTCTCTCACACAGACACAGAAATATAGAAACAATAGAAGCTGTCCAAATTAATTTCCCAAAATAGTTAGATCTTGATTCTTCAACTCGAAGTCATTTATTGCAATGATTTTAAGTAAAACTAAGCATTTTAAACATGAAATTTTATCTATGGAAGGAGACTTGGAATTTGTTTTGTTTTTAAACAATTCAAAAACAATGAGAAAACCCTTTAAAATTTACCTTCTAACTGCGACGGACTTAGAGGTACAGTTGCTTGTTATGACAGGTATTAACCTAGGGATGTGTGTGTGCTGTGAAGAACAACAAAAAACAGAGGTGAACACTTGCAAATACAAAAACAAAACACAGCTAAGAGAATCACTTCCTTACTAACCTACTTATATTGCACATACACATCAGATTAGAATGTCAATGATTTTAAAAAGGAAAAATTAATTTACTGAATATTGTCAAAAGCCATTAGAAAAATTCCAGAGTTGGGAGTGGGGGGAAAAACAGAAAATTTCCAGAATTAAGAACAGGCAACATAATGACATGAAGATAAGCCTAAAACAATCATTAGTATGAGGTCTAAATTATCTGAGCTGTAGAGAGCTAAGTGGGTTTAAAAGAAAGCATCAGACAAATATATTTTGATACTGTTTCAATGGAATGTCCAATAATGACCTTGGGTTTAACAGTTTAAGTAGGCAGTACAAGTAAGAACAGTAAGAACTAAAAATAATACAAAATAAATAACCAAAATAATCAAGAATATTCTGGATAGATTTAGGACAACATCATCAAGCCTAGGTAAAAACAACTTGAAATTGGTAGGGAGGTAATGTGAAAAACCATTTTAAGCCTTTGTGAACTAGTAGATTTTGTTAAAAACTGGTGTATAAATTACTTGGATAATTATTTAAATTTAAATAAGTGCCTGGAAAACCTAACCAAAGAAAACATTTTGTTTCTGTGCTTATATGCGATTAATTAAACTTTTGGGTGAACAGCAAAACCACAAGCACAGATAGCTAAAATGGAAGGACTAGGATTAAGGAGGTAACACTAAGAGTAATATCTGAGTAACAAGGATACAAAAACTCAGAAGGAGACACTGGATGTTCAAATATTTTAAATGAATAGTGAGTTAACAATACCTCATTAACTTTATAGCACATCCATAATTCACATTATGAATTATAAAAAGCTCATATGCTACAATTAAGTAGAGAGAAAAGACATATAAACAAAATTCCAATATAATTATACTAATACATTTAATTACTCAATATAATTATGCTAACAAAAATGCCTCTAATATTTATCAACCATCAGTATTTACCACTTGCTTATTTCATGTATGGCCTATAACATACTTACCCGAATAATTAACCTAACAGCTACAACACCAGACGTGGCCATAATTTTGGCACTGTTTGGAATTAAATTAAATATAGTTGGCATAATGGCTTCGGCTCCATGGTCAAACTTATTCCCCAGAACTGATGACAGATGCCTAAAACACAAAATGGACAGTGGACTGTAGTTATTTTTCTTAGAAACAATGAAGCATATAAACCACTTAACATCTAGAGCCTTCATTTAAAGTTATCCGGGAATAAAGGACAAGGGTCTAAAATTTCCAATGTGCATGTTGAGAACCTGGCAAACAGTTCTTAGCCTAAACGTTTCATTTTTACTTAAAAAAAATTTTTTTTCCAACTAGTCTTTGTGAAGGTTTTTGTTTGTTTTCTAGAAGCAGGATCTCACTATGCTGTCCATGTCGAACTTGACCTCCTGGGCTCAAGCAATCCTCCCACTTCAGCTTTCCAAGTAGCTGGGACTCCAGGCACATCCCAACTCACCTGCCCGAACTAATCTTAGCATAGCAAACAAACAAACACACTGATCATATATTAATAAAACACAAATAGGAAAAAGTGTCCCTGGCTGCTTTTTTTCTCTTGTCTTTTATCTTAACATAACATATTCAGGCTTCGAAATCTGAACTGCAGCCAAAACTTTAAATAGCTGCAATGCCTCCTCTTACTGCTGCTTCTTTGATATTTTGACATACATCCCAACACAAAGTTTTATTAGCTTTCATCACTAGTACATGTATAGCTAGGAAAAATTATATTGCAGTAAATGCTTTTAACTTTATAACTACAGTACTCTGCTAGGAACAAACATTCTCATAACCATGCTATTGCCTGTCAGCAAAACTCAATGAAAAATCAGAGAAACAGAATTTTAAAGCATTTCATTTTTCCATATTAACAACTGCTTCAAAGTTTGAAATAAAGGCTTCAGAGCTACGTCACTGAATAAAATAAAATTTAAAATCTGTCACATTTCACATAATTGAGCAAAAAATATTGTAAAAGTACTGAAAGAAGTGTTAACTGGAATGGGTCTTGGAGACTAGTTAGAAGTTACATGAAAGAGACCCAGCTCACATGTTTAAGGAGACATCTCTGAAGCTCTATGGTGATAATACTTTATGGTGAGAATATGGAGCATTGCAGTCCTTACCCCAACGTGATACAAGCCTCCCGCACTACCTGAGACCGCAGATCCTTAGCAGAGAGTTTAAAGGCTCCATCCAAAAGACGCAAATGTTGAAAGAAGTTATCATACTCAGCAGCACCAGCCAAAAGTAAAGATCTAATCTTTTTTAGCTAATGGGATAGAGAAAATTCAGAGAAACTAAAAACAATTCTAATACAGAATATACAAAACAAAAGAAAAAAAAATCACAGAATAAACAAAACAATAGAACCCATCAAACATAAAAGAGATTAACTTTTATCAACTCTAAACAGTTAAAATTCAACTGATTAGAAAGTTTTCCCAAGAGGATTCCGCAGTTAAATATTAGCTAATACAATAAACAAATCTACATATCACAAATAAGATTAAGTAATTTTTAACTGGAGTATTTGTGATACATATACTGTAATTTCTGCAAAAAAATGGATTTTTTACATTTGAAATATCTTGAAGTATTTATAGATCCTACGACACTAATGATAAATAACTAAAAACTTTTGGCTTCTGAAAAGCCCCTCCCAAGCTTACCTCCCTCCACACCCCACTTCTACTGCCATTTATTTAATAATGAAAGGAAGAAGCATTCTTATAGAATGATTTATTTATTACCCTTCACTGTACTATTAAGTGTCCGGTCTGAATTTTAAATACAATATGAATTGTATCACCTCTCTTCTTGCCAGCCAACCAACAGAAAATAGCTTTCTCAGATAAGACACATCCTCACTTTAATCCCCAGCCCACTTTCTATTAATCTACTTTTAAAAATAAAAGAGACACAACTTTCTAGCAAGTGATATGAAGAAAGAAAAGAATACTGGGGACACACACTAAAAGTGCCATGAAAAGGCCACTTTAAAGGCAAACAATCACAGAATAAAATCTCTACTAATGTGAGAATGGAGGCTGTCACTATACATTCCACAGTTAGGTCTTTGTTAAAGACTAGGTGATTCATAAAAGTGTAAGTTGGTGTGTTTAAGGAGATACTCTACTAAAAAGCTGAAGTATAAATATGATAATTTGTATTTAAAATGTATACTATTTAAAATTCATTAGAGCTATCCCGATTTTATAACAAAGTATTTGAGATATTTAAATAAATCTTATGAAAATGTAATCACATGAAGTCAACGGCTTACAGCATTTACTCTCTGCTCCCAATCATGCTTGTCATCAGATAATATTTCCCTAATTTTGTTTATGGATTCCTCAAGGTCTCGGCTGGAATAAATCTGTAAGCAAAATTAATTTACAATCAATATAAAAACATGTAGAACAGATTATTTCTTAATTGCATGAAGTCAAGAGCATTACGTATAGTAAAAAAAATTATTTCATTTTTAAGAAATACCTATGAGAAAGTATCTGAAAAGTTTTATCTTATAATGAGGATCTTTCTCACTGTAAATGTGTATCCACAAGATTTGTTTCCATATGTGAAAAACCCTGCCTCAAACACAGCTTTACTATAAACTTCACAGATGATTTCATGTACAAAACAGAAAAGCCTATTGGGAAACAGTCAGTGATGCATAAGTCATTTATTACTCTTAGTATTATTTATAACATGACACTATTCCTATAATTTTAGACACTTTCAAATCTTCTTCCTCATTTATTCCACATCTTACTTAGAAAACAGGTATGATGTAGGGTATAATCAACCTTGATGTATGCTGGGAAGGTCAGGTCAAGTACTTAAGGATAAACCTGAACCCAAGATTCTTTTTTTAAGAGACTGGGTCTGTTGCCCAGGATGGAATGCTGTGGTACAATCTCAGCTTACAATAAACTCCACCTCCCAAGTTCAAGGGCACCTCCCACCTCACTCTCACCAGTAGCTTGACCTCTAATAGGTGCATGTCACCACGGGTAATTTTTGTACTTTTTGTAGAGATGAGGTTTCACCATGTTACCTAGGCCACTGACATTCTTGTTATATGCTTTTTACACACATGGCAACCAAGGTGGCAAAGAGAGTTGTACATAACAGACAGTAAGTGCCACAGGAATCCAGAGCACAGTCAGTGTAGGCTGAGGAAAAGTATTAGTCTCAATCAGCAACAGACAATACTAAGGCACAAAGCAGTCAAAAACTTATGGCTGTATCCCAATTTTTATAAATAATCTTTGTTTCATCTGTTAGGTACTTAAAGTGAAGCATCAAAGAAGGTATAAACTTAGCTCTTAAAAAACCATTCTCTGCAACTTTTCAGACACCCAAATCTTTCAAATTTATGAATTTTTCTAAGAAAAATCTCTAAATAAATATGCATTTTCATTCTCTAATTTAGCATCATCTATTTCTTTTTCTTTTATGTGACCTGATCCATAAACTTAATAACAGAGCAACCAATGTCTTTCCTGTTCTTACTGAAAGATCATCTTGTGCCTGACTTTTGCTCCAACATTTTCTAGTCTGCACCTCAGATCTCCTGTAGTGTTAATAGATAAAATTACCTGACCTAGTAAAGAACATTACAGAGGCATACTTGAGAAATAAAATTTGAAGAATAAATCTACCCTTGTTTATAATCACACTCAAATATCCTCACTGACCTGTACTACAGGTACATCATCAAATGCTTTAATAAAATCCTCTTCATCAACAGCACCAGCTCCTTCTTTTGCAGCTATAAAAAAAGAATTTAAAAACTGTAAACAATATGAAACAATGTATATAACACATACACTGAAGAAGTCTAAACATACAAAATCAGAATTAGATTTTGGAAGATTTAGAACTTTTAAGAAAAGGTTTCCTACAACTTTGGAGGGTCATGAAATTGACAAACATTACTGACTTCATATCAAGATGAAATACAGTAATTCTACAATGCTATATACATTAGCTTAAGGTCACTCAGACTACCTGTTTAGGCAGGTAGAGTATGAGTGTTAAAGGATTTAGATATTGTAGTAATACACAAGTCTTTTGAAAAATTCCTAATAAATGGATCAAGCAGAAAATTTATTTCTTCAGGGAAAAAAACTGTTATTACAGCAGAGTAACAATAATAACAATAATCCAACATAACACATCTGTGAATATTCAAACAAGTCCTAAGTAATTTAACAGTTTTATTTAACTTTATATTAGTTTGAAAACATTTCTATTTCCTTGAACTCAAAACTGTCATTTTTTTCACTTAAGAATCAGTTATAAATTTCTCCTACAAAGTTATCCTAAGATACTTTGTATACTTAAAAGTATTTAAAGAAAGTATTTCTTTTTGCTAATATGAGCTCCCCTTTATGCAAGAAAATCAAGTGGTGCGTTATCAGATTATTTTTTCACATTTTAAAAATTTGTGTCTACAGCCATCTTCATAACCCCCATTAATGATTTAACATGGCTGCTTTTCTAAGACCTTCTTACCAGACATGTATATGGTATTCCGGGTCCTGAAGGGCTGTCCAGAGAGAAAGGGGCTTTAAAGGCAATCCCAGGTAGCAGTAAATGTGTGTCATCACTCTTGCTGAAGATCACTCACACTATGGAAAAGCTAACCACTATAAAGGATGATAGTCACTCACTGTGATGTGGTGCTCTGTGTCTGTTTTCGCATAAAAAATGCACCCCACTGAGCAGATAGACCCTGGACGCCTCCTTTGCGTAAGGCCCTACACCATGTACCCACACATACCAGAGTACTCAAAGGCCAACAGCAGTCTCTAAGCCTAAGGTATCTGATGAGGAGGAGCTAACCAGGAAATTCACAACTATGGCAGTAAACAACATGGGAAGACAGGGCTGATATGTGCATAATCTACACAGCAAGGACTTCTGGAAGGGATATGGATGCAGGATTGGAGGGAAAGCACCAGTCTTATCATACAGCAATTTTCTAAGCCTTGTTGATGCAACTGATAACTACCTAACAATAGATCAAGAAAAAAGATTAGAAAGATTGTTCAGGCATTAAAAGGAACAAAGTATTGCTATATGCTACAAGGTAGATGAAACACTGAAAACATTCCCTTTAAAATGGCTAATTTTATGTTATATGAATTTAAACTCAGTAACAAAAAAAGTTTTAAAATGCACCAAAAAAAATTATTAGAAAGAACTAGAAATAATCACAATTAACATCCCTGCAGCTCCTCTATAACAAACAGATGCTGGGGTCAGGAGGCAGAGTGGTGCCACACTGGTCTGGTCAAGATACCAATATTCTAGGGCCAGTTCAGAATTCAGGAGAGGCCATCAGGAGACAGGATTTTTTTTTTTTTAAACCTTATTTCCAAACTTCTCAAGGAGGTAGGAGACAGCATTTTAATGCTAATCATGAGTACAGCTTTTACTTAGCCCATTCAGCTTCATCTTTTTTGGCTCATGGGATTCCCCACCCACCACTCTTCCACCACCAGCAGCAGCTCAAAAGCTCACAGCTATCAGTGAAAATGGTTTTAAGAGCAGCAGCTACACAATTTTTCAGAGGTAAATTTCAGAAGAAATTTGCATGTAAATGTAAAATTTGAGAGAAAATGAGAGTTGTATATAACAACTAGTTAAACTGTTTACATTAGGGGTGAAAGGAAGAATTTATGAGAGAAATCTCCTAAAATTTATTTAATGCAACATCCATACTGGTCTCCCAAGGAACCATGTTACTGTAAGAACAAAATATATTTTATTTTATCTTACTTATTTTCATTTCCAACTTTTAAGTTCAGGGTACATGCGCAGGATGTGCAAGTTTGTTACACAGGTAAACGTGTGCCATGTTGGTTTACAGATCATCCCATCACCTAGGTATTAAGCCCAACATCCATTAGCTATTGTTCCTGACATTCCCCATCCCCCTACCCCAAACCCTGCAACAGTCCCAGTGTGTGTTTTTCCTGCCCATGTATCCATGTGTTCTCATCATCCAGCTCTCACTTACAAGTGAGAACATGCAGTATATGGTTTTCTGTTCCTGTGTTAGTTTGCTGAGGATAATGGCTTCCACCTCCATCCATGTCCCTGGCAAAGGACATGATCTTTTTATAAATGCATAGTATTCCACAGTATATATGTACCACATTTTTTTTTAATCCAGTCTATCATTGATGGGCATTTAGGTTGATTCCATGTCTTTGCTATTGTGAATAGTGTTGTGACGAACATATACATGCATGTATCTTTATAACAGAATGATTTATATTCCTTTGGGTATATACCCAGTAATGGGATTGCTTGGTCAAATGGCATTTCAGCCTCTAGGTCTCTGAGGAATTGCCACACTGTCTTCCACAATGGTTGAACTAATTTGGACTCCCACCAATAGTGTAAAACTGTTCCTTTTTCTCCACAAACTCACCAGCATGTTGTTTTTCTGACTTTTTAGTAAGAGGACTGGTGTGAGATGGTATCTCATTGTGGTTTTGATTTGCATTTCTCTAATGATCAATGGTGTTGAGCTTTCTTTCATATGTTTGTTGGTTACATGTACACCTTCTTTTTGTAAGTGTCTGCTCATGTTCTTTGCCCACTTTTTAATGGTTTTTTTTTTCTTGTAAATTTAAGTTCCTTGTAGATTCTGGATGCTAGGCCTTTGTCAGATGGACAGATTGCAAAAATTTCTCCCATTCTGTAGGTTGCGTGTCCACTCTGATGACAGTTTCTTTGGCTGTGCAGAGCTCTTTAGTTTAATTGATCCATTTCTCAATTTTTGCTTTTGTTGCAATTGCTTTTGGCATTTTCGTCATGAAATCTTTGCCCATGCCTATGTCCTGAATGGTTCTGCCTAGATTTTCTTCTAGGGTTTTATAGCTTTGAGTTTTACATTTAAGCCTTTTATGCATCTTGTGTTGGTTTTTGTATAGTGTGTAAGGAAGTGGTCCGGTTTCAATTTTCTGCATATGGCTACCCAGTTCTCCCAGCACCACTTATTAAACAGGGAAGTCTTTCCTCATTGTTTGTTTTTACCAGGTTTGTCGAAGATCAGATGGTTGCAGGTGTGGGTCTTTATTTCTGGCTTCTCTATTCTATTGCATTGGTCTATGTGTCTGTTCTTGTACCAGTATCACCCTGATTTGGTTAAGGTAGGCTTGTAATATAAAGCTAAATAGTGAGATGCCTCCAGCTTTGTTCTTTGTGCTTAGGATTGTCTTGGCTATACGAGCTCTTACTTGGTTCCATATGAATTTTAAGATAGTTTTTCTTCTAATTCTGTGAAGAATGTCAATGTCAGTTTACTGGAAATAGCATTGAATCTGTAAATTTCTTTGGGCAGTATGGTCATTTTCATATTAATTCTTCCTATCCATGGACATGGACTGTTTCTCCATTTGTTTGTATCATTTCTGATTTCTTTGATCAGTGGTTTGTAGTGCTCCTTGAGGAAGTCCTTCATTTCCCTTTAGCTGTATTCCAAATCATGAATGAATTCCCAATCACAGTTGCCATTGTGATTGGGAATTCATTCATGATTTGGCTCTCTGCTTGCCTGATGTTGATGTACAGGAATGCTAGTAATATTTGCATACTGATTTTGTATCATGAGGCTTTGCTGAAGTTGTTTATCAGCTTAAGAAGCTTTTGGGCTGAGACAATAGGGTTTTCTACATACAGGATCATGTCATCTGCAAATAAAGATAGTTTGACTTCCTCTCTCCCTATAAGAATACCCTAATCCTAACCTCAACCCTATGTTCCTTTAGCTCAGTGAAGCTCATTATTATCCACATTCTGATGTCTACTTCTGTCATTTCAGCCATCTCTGTCTCAGCCTAGTTCTGAGCCCTTGATGGAGAGGGGTTGTGGTCATCTGAAGGAAAAGAGGCACTCTGGCTTTTTGAGTTTTCAGCACTTTTGTGTTGATTCTTTCTCATCTTTGTGGGCCTACCTTTGATCTTTGAGATTGTGGTCCTCTGAATGGGTTTTTTTGTTGTTGCTGTTTTCCATTTGGTTTTCTTTTAAAAGTCTGGTCACTCTTCTGTGGGACTGCTGCTAACCAGCTTTCCACAGATTGTCTTTGAGGTCTTGAGCTCTACCCTCCCTGCATGAGGCGCCTGCAGTCCAGGTAGAGAAATATAGGCCTTCCACTCCCACAGAACTACCTCCCACTGGCCCAGCCCCACCTCAGGCCGACATCCAACAGACACACCAACAGCTGCCACCTCACAATGGCTCACCAGGAACTGGAGCAGAGGTGGCTGGTCTCTACCGCCCAAAGCCCGACCCTGCATGCAGAGCATGCACACACACCCCAATACCCAGGGGCCAGTCCACAGACATATTTTAAAGTCAGGAGAGATACAGTGTAACTTCTGGATTAGTCTCTGTCTTGTTAAATAGAAATTATGGTTTCAGGCAGTATTGGATCCAGATAACTAAATAATGCCATGAGGGTGCCTGCTCTTGCTCTTATCTCTGAGCTATGCTTTCTTCTGTGCTGGCTTCCTTCTCTGACAGGCTCCACCTTACCAGAATGTGGCAAAAGTCAACACAGTAGCTCACATTTACAACTCACCAGCTTATCAGCATCAGTATCACAATGCTAATTCGATTAAATAACAAGCAGAAACCTACTGCATATGGGGACTGTATCACTTCTGAGGGCCACCATAGACAAGTACTCGCACCTCTGGTTTTAAAAGGGGGGATAGCTGACCCCACACAGGGCTTGACTAACCTGAAGACTTGGATCCAAGGGTGGATGAACCAAGCCGGCGGGTGGTTCCCATTCCGACGTTTCTCCGAGAACTTGGTAGAGCCTTGGATGACGTAGAACTAGCGGAGGAAGGTCTGTTACCATCCACAGAATCTTCATCATCAAAATTTTTATCTAAACAGTAAGCAGAGAAACAAATTCAAAAATAATACTTTTTCATCCAATTATGAAACAACTAGTTTTTGAGATAGAATGATTTTGCATACTCTTTGGGAATCTGAGGTGCCCCTCTAGGGTCTGGAAAGCCTTAGGTTAAGCTCTGAATGAAGCGACAAAGATCATACTTGCTTTTGCACACCCAGAAAGCTTTCCCACTCAAATTTTGAAAAATAGAACAAATATAAAGAAGACAACAGTATCTCATAAAACCACCACCAAGAAATAGTTATTTTCACATTCTGAAACATTTCTGACCATGTATGTTTTGGGGTTTTTTTGTTTTTTGGAGATACAGTCTTGCTGTCACTCAGTCCTCCCACCTTGGCTTCCCAAAGTGCTGGGATTACATGCATGAACCACTGAACTTGGTCACTTGGGTGTATTTTAAAACAATAGTGAGATGAGAGGAGTATGTATCATATTGGAATAGTGCTCACTTCAAACATGTAAATTTTTCCTCTGTGGTGAAATCTTTTTCATAACCACCATTTTAATAATTGTATGATATTTTGTAATTGGAAAATGGTAGAGGTGAAACACTCTTATTGTTAGAATGTTTTTAATTCCTCAGCATTATAAATGCGGGATTGCAAACACCTTCCTACATTGTTTTTTGTTTGAATTTCCAATAGTTTTTAGGAATTAAAAACCTAGAAGCAACAATAGTGGGTCAAACAGTATAAAAGTGCTTGATGTATAGAGACAAAATTATCATCAGAGAGGTCATATAAATGTACACTTCTCTTAGAAGTTCAAAGAAGTACTCATCCTTGCCAACATTTATTTAATATTACCATTTTTAAACTTTAATCAATCTGACAGGTGAGAAAAAGACTTCATCTTCTATGTTGTATTTCTTTTTTAGTGAAGATGAATGTTTTGTCATAAGCTGATTAACTTTTAAATTTTCTAAACAGCAGTGGATCTAATCAGTACCCTTCAAGTTGCATTGAAAATTTTAAAAAGACACAGCTCTAATCCTGCTACTTTGGGAGGCCAAAATGGGAAGACTGCTTGAGGTCAGGAGTTCAAGACCAGCCTGGGCAATATAACAAGGTCCTGTCTCTTAAAAATTAAAAAAAAAAGAAAATGTCAGATATGGTGGTGTGTGCCTCTAGTCGCAGATACTCAGAAGGCTGAGGCAGAGCCTCACTTGAGCCCAGGAGCTTGAAGCTGCAATGAGCCAGGGTCATGCTGCTACATTCCAGCCTCAGTGACAGAGCAAGACCCTGTCTCAAGAAAAAAGAAACATCTTTGGATTCTTAAAAATCAACATATTTATAACAACATTTTAATGATGCAAAATTAAAGTTTATGTATCAAGTACAAGAGTGAGTCATTCAGGAGGCTAAATAAAGAACTTAAGAGTAATTTAAATAAAACAAACAAAAAAATCTATAGCTGGCAATTTTCATGATTTCTGAGAGAGAGGCATTAGTTCTTTACCAGTAATTTTGAAATAAATCATTGCTATCCCAAAAATAGATACAAAGAGAATCCTGTTTTCCTTGATCTAGTTGCTTCTTAACCTAAATTATCAACAGGCAAGTGTGTCTACACAGGACCCCAATGCTCCCTAAAACTCACCAACAACGCACACTCCAAATTACATGGCTCAGTTTATTCAACAGAGGGTAGGGGGAGGAGGAGAGAAAGACATCTTCACAAATCCATATCCTTATGCAAATTAGCTGCTTTCACTATGTCTTTAAATCCCCCAGATTATCTTGTTATGCCATGCTGTTTCAAAATGGTTCTTACATTCCACACATTCATTTTTCACTGATTCAGATGCACAGTGTTCTTAATTAGCATAGACTTCCCATGGATTCAGAAGGTGGTTCATAATGGCTTTCCCAAAAGTAAAATTTAAGTCTAATGTAAAGGATAAGAACAACCCAAAGAAGTCACCCACTAAGTACTGCCAGCATTAGTAGTGACAAGGACAGATCTGACTCAGCCTATCTGTCCTCTGGGGGAGCTCCAAGAGCATCTGAATTGCTGTCACTATTTTACTTCCTTCAGTCATAATCATTATTCTGCTGAGTGGGACAGTTCCGGTCTGTGGGAAAGGTAAAAAATAAATGGGAAATATGAAGACACCATGCTTCACTCAAAAATCCATGTAAATTATGTTTAGTTCAGTCTTCTAACATATGAAGGCATGTCATTTAGAACAGTATTCATTTGCCAAGAATTATTTTCAATGAATCAATTTCAATGGAATTCCTGAAATTTTTGCTTGCATCAGTGATAGACTAGGCATGGACCAGACTTAACCTCTTGCAATAACTAGCTAGAAAACCTGAGAGAATATATAAAAGAACTACTTGCAGACACCAGACAACAGGCAGTGCAGAACCTGGCTGTTTAGCTAATTTACGTAAGAATATGGGTTTGTTTCTCCCTGAAAGTAAAAAAAACAAACAGGATAAGCTGATGACAATCACCCCAACTTTCTGCCTGGAGGTGTTAATAATTTCCAAGTCACCAAGTACAGGGAAGGGGAACTCAAACTTAGTAGCCCTGCAGATTAAACACTGCAGGCAGTAAAGAACAGAGTTCAGAGAGGTTGAGGGTACTAGCAATTATAGGACGGAGCTTAGCAAAAAGGAAGCTACACAGAAGAGGGCTACAGAAATGTGCTAAGTTCTAGGCCTCACATGTGTGAGAGAACTTCCACAAAGTAAGGCAAAAAACAACCAAGAAGGTGTGAAATGAACAATTCTTTTTACCCAAGTAGGAAAGCTCCAACCAGCCAAAGTAGAATATTCTTGGTGACCCACCCAAGGCATTCAATGGAGACCCCAGAGAGGTCAGATCTTAGTGAGATTAAAATACTCTGGAGTGAAAATTAAACTAAATTTGCCCTATCAGAGCTTAAAAGCAGGCCTCCAGGGCATCAGACAGACCTTCAAGTAACTTAACTGTTTTACCAGAACAAAGCATGATATTCTTAAAAAATAACAAGATACAGACACTTAACAACATAACATTCACAATACACATCTAATAAAAAAATTCCTTCACTATGTACAGAGAAGCCTTTAAAAAATTTTTCTAAACATAAGAGGGAGAAAAATGTGGCCCATTATCAGAAGGGGCAAAAAAAAAAAAAAAATCAGAAAACAGCAAACTTCTGATAAATGACAGAAGAATATTACAACTTCTATTATAATTCTGTTCACTGTTAAAATACATAGACAATATAAGAAAAAAAAAGGAAGATTTTTTTAAAGAACCCAATGAAACAGATTTTAAGAAACACATAATATCTGAAATGAAAATTTCATTAATTGAGATTAAATGCAGACCAGACATTGCAGAAGTAAAGATAAAAATCAGAGAACTTAAAAACAGCAATAGAACTTATCCAAAATAAGCAAAGAAACAAAATAGGCTGAAAAAATAAATAAAAGGAATAGAATCTCAGAGACATGAAGGATAAATATCAAGCAGTTAGTTCAACACACAAAACACTGCAGGCCCACAGGACGAGGGGAAGAAGAGGAAGGACAGAAAAAGATTAAGAAATGATGGCCAAAACATTTCCAAATTTGATAGAAACTATAAACCTACAGATTCAAGCAGCTGCACGCGCCAAACAAGACCCACACATAGAAAAGCACACCATAATCAAACTGCTTAAAGCCAGACAAGGGCAGCCAGAGGAAGAGACACAGTACACACAGGAACAAACACAAAAGTAGCAGCAGCCTTTATCAGAAACCCTGAAAGTCACAACACAACGGAAACGACAGCTCGAAAACGGTATTAACCTAGAAGTAACCTAGAACTCTATATCCAGTGAAAACATCTTTTAAGAATAAAGGCAAAAGAAAAACATATTCAAACAAAAACTGTCATCAGCAGAGCTGCACTTCAAAAAATGTTAACGGGAAGATCTTCAGGCAAAAGGCAAATGATACCAGTTGGAAACAGGGATTTACATAAAGAAATAAACAGTAGTAGATAGAGTAAATATTGGATAAATATAAGACCTTCTCCTCATATTTATTATTCATTCTGTTTTATTTCCTTCACATTATCATTTCTATAAAAGATGACTGACTGTTTAAAGCAAACTATATTTAGCTTTCATTCTTTTTATATTCTCATGTAATGGGCCAATAGCCTGGAGGCCAGAGGAACCGTAATTAGGATATTATGTTGCTGTACTAGATGACACACACAAAACTATATGGGAAATAAGGTACAGGGAGGACATGAAGAAAATGGAAGTGCTTCCATTTCCGTCCTCAAAGAGCATATATTTTTCAAAGTTAATTATAACTTGTCCAAATCACCTGAAGATGTCACTCAATAATGTATCACGTATCCAACCACACTGAGAAGGCACGCCCTTCATCACCAACACCTGTATGAAATGCCAGCCAAAGAAGGAAAGAAGCAAAGGACGAAAGGGTGTACTGAGGCAGCCAGTGTAGGGCTTTTTAAACTGAACTTTAGGAGTCCTACTTGTCTTCTTACTTACTCTTTGGAAGCAAATCTAACAAGCTTACTTATTGATTTCCTAAGCAGATTAGAAGCAACTGATTATAGGGATAGTAAGGAGGAGGACACGAGAATTAAGCAAAGTGATGTTAATAAGTGAGCTGGAGGCCTGATAGCCAAATAGAAACTACAACAAGCAGACACATGCACAGAAAAACCCCTAAACCCAAAATGCTTAGAATACGGTGACAGTACAGGGATCAGATCACATCTATACACACAACAACTTAAGATTCAAGTTTCAATGATCTGTGCACTGTTTAAAAAGTAATTCACATTTCCCATCTTGACTGGAAATTCAGGAAAACACAGGACAGAAAGTATATTTGTTTTCTAGATTAACAACTGGACACAATGCTCTGAACTGAAACACCTGCAAAGGTTTTTGTAGAATAAAAACCAACTGAGCCAATTATTTGAAAACTTAATATACTGTTTAA